CCCCCCACCCCCCGCGCTAACTCGTCCTCGCTGCAGGTGCGGAGACCGCCCGGCGGCTCCCCGCCGCCCCCCGCCACGGGGGCCGGTGGGGTGAGCGGCGACTTGCTGGCCAAGGAGGAGGAGTACAAGTAAGGAGGCGGCCGGGGGCGGCAGCCGGGCTTTGTCACCTCAGCGTTACCCCGCTCACTGCTGGCTGTCCTAACGAAGTTGACAGTTAATCCCGTGTATCCGAGTCCCTCAACTAGTTCCCCCAAAGCGTACAGATGAGAGCACCAAAAGCAATGTTTTAATTTTCTTTCGGCACGGTACAGCCCTCCTGCCGCCGTTTCACACAGGCACCTCAGGGCTGTGCACTGCTCTAGGCCTCACTTCGATCCCACAGCATTGGATGTAAGATTTTTCTGCATTTGAAACACTGACATGACTTATGAATATATAAGTGCTTAAGCCTGTTAAAAAAAAAACTTAAAAGCTCTAAAGCTTGTGACAAATGCAGTGAAAGCACATTTAAAAGCACTCGCTCTGTTACCCATCAGTTCTCAGCCCCTGTGAATGGTGAGGATGTACAAGGAGCCATGTCTCACTCAGTCACGCTGCATGAAAAGCTATAAAGTGAAGCATGCAAGAACACAAGCTTATTTTAACCTGTACATATGTATAGTGACACATACATGATTCTTTCTCCAACCCCTGCTGCTAAGTATGTGTAAGGTATGGACTGTTAAAAACAGAAAGCGTTGAGGAAATAAAGACGTAAAATGTGTATTAAGCAATGACATGGCCAAAAACAAGGACACCCTTTACCACTCAGAATTATAGTCTAAACCTATAGTTTAGTGGGTATAGGTGTTTTATTAACTATTGATTTGACAGAAACCCAGGAAATTGTTGAAATGTAACTCTGTTAATACCCTGAAGTATATTTCAGTGTTCCTTTGTAGGATTTATTAAAATTTCACTTAGGTCAGGCAGAGATACTGTCATGCTTATATTTATCCTTTTAAAGCTTTCAAAAACTGAATGACAAGCATTTTTACTCTTGCAGGCGACTGAATGCAGAATTAGAAGCAAAAACAGAAAAACTGGTGCGTCAGGCTGAAGAAGTAATGGTGAGTAGGTTCTACAGACTGTTCCATAACTTAGCCTTGGTTCACATGTACACAGGGTCAAGTTTCAAAAGAAATTATTTAGACCATGACAACTAAAAGTATTTTGGTTTCAAATGCAATCTAAGCTTTTAATTTATTTTTTTCAAAATTGTAAACGTCTACTAAAAACACATCCAAAAGTAGTTTTTACGTAATTTCATCAGGTAGGTAGATGTTCACATAGATGCGTAGAGCATTTGTGCAGACATATACATAAAACTATATAAAAAACTTGTTTATGATGTTTAAGAAAAGTATCTGTAGGTGGTTTTATGTCTTAAATAAATAAATAAATAAATATTTGAAAACCAGATACTGTTGCAACAACATCCTAGTGAGATAGGATCTACATTATTCAAGCTGAAAGAAATACAAAGAATAAGCAACATAAATAGAAAATATGTAGTTAGTAAGAAGGAAACTTTCTTAAAACAGAAAGATTTCCTGGTTGTTGTCAGTATTATCTTTTAACATTGGTGTGGCTGTGTACCAGACAGAGTCAAGTTTTTATATGAAACTTGGACAAATTAAAAAAAGGGAACAGGGGAGGTATGGTTTATATCCAAAACAGTTTGGAGAAGGTGTTCTGCATATTAGATACATTCATTGTAGTGCACTCAAATAAATAAGGCTTAAAAAGCAAATTATTAAGTCTTCTGGAAAGCTATACTTATATGCACTTTTCCTACTGTTGAAACTTCATTTTTATGTCCTGTGGAAACATACGCTTCTCTTGAGCTGTGGTAAGCTGAGGCTAACTGCTTGGCAGATGAAGCATCCAAAATAGCATCTAGTCTCTTTCCTTTAAAAAACAGCAACAACAAAACCACTTTTTTTTTTTCCTTCTCTAAATACAGCAGAAGGTCAAATATTCTTAGGACACTTAATATACCACATGGCACTGCCAGATTGCACAGATATACATTTAACAACAAAAGAAAAACAGTCTAAGTTAAAAAAAAAAAAAAAACAACAAACAAAAAACCCCAACCCCCCAACAAATGCCAAACAGGGCAACTGCATTTTGTTCTGGATGATGCTTTCTAACTGTAACTTAGCAACATAGAAGCTATCTGAACATTCGGACTGAATTGTTCTCTAAAGTACATACAACATATCAGTGTCCAATTATGGTCATATTGCATGAATAAAGATTTATTTTTAATGCTTATTGTGCAGTATGGGAAATTGAAAATTTGTTCCACCTGCTGTGCATTTGCTACTCCTATATTTCAGAGGAAAAGGAGGGAGGGTAATAGCATCTCAGATGATATTAAGCTGGGGAAAAGTTTTATAGGCAAAAGGCAATTACATGTTGTGAAGCAGAAATAAATGTTGGGGGATAGCAATGGCATTTTAATTTTTAGCCATCTTTTCCTGTGTTTGAGAAGTTCTTTTCCACAGTAGACTATAGTTTCCATTCTTTTCCATAGTAGACAATAGTTGTTGTGATCTGTGATTTAGAAATATGTAATTAATCTTTAATGGATTCTATTCCCCCCAAATTGACTACTTTTTTTTTTTTTTAAATAAAGAAAGGCCAACAGGAGATACTATCTAGACCAGTTTCAGTACAGATCAAGTCATGTGAAGACGACAGACCGAGGTATGTGCTTTACAACTGCTGCATACAATTCGTGGGGGATCTTTCACACTGATCCTGCACACCCTGACTTGTGCCCTAGTCATGCTCCTGTTTTATCTATCTTTGCAGCATACTAGATCGGTGGAGTCTAAATTTTTTTCCTATTATTTGAAACAATTGCTGCTAAGTAAGTGTTGTTCCTTGTTATTTCGAGGAAGTCTTAATTTTGCTGAAATGTTCCATCTAGGATGCTAAGTAGTGCTGACATCTGTAAAAAAGCAAGGTAAGGTAACAGGTTTCTTCGCAGTACAAAACAGTAGACGCTCAGCAGTAGATGTTTTTTAACCAGTTCAGCTGACAAAGCAAAGAAATAGATACTGGTTCACATTTAACTTGGCCTAAATGTTCCTGGGACAGGAAGTGCTTGTTAAAAAAAACAAACAAACCAAAAACCTAAGGCAGACGAATATTCAGCCGCCATCCTCTGGAACCTGGATATTATTACACTTCTGAGGCCGACACATACCTTTGGCCTGTATGAACATACGTATGACTGTAGGTTTTGGCCTCTATGTTCAAACCCATTAGCTCTAGAGTGGATACATAGCCGTATTTACTTAGTTGTTCAAGGGTTTGTACATTGATAGTACAGGAAATGGCTGAATTTAAGATAGACTAATACACAGTTTATCAAGGATCTGATCTGGTAGGTTCCTAAATTTGTGATGCCACTGATCTGGATAACAAAGATACAGGGCCAGACTACAAGGTGCTTCAAATGTTAGCTGCAGTTGGGAAACTGTTTTGAAACAGTATATATGAAAGTCTGCTAGAGATGATCAAATAATTACTTTTGTGCGGAGTAAAAGCGAAAACAAAAAGCGAGTTTTTTTTATGAACATAAAAGTTTTTTTCAGTACACAAAAAGGTCTGACCAGAAGTCTGTGATAGAAGCCTGGCTATACCAGCAAAAGTTTACTACTATAGTTAAAATTATTCCTGAGCTATTTTAAAGCCATATCTGTCAGTTTGGGCGGGGGGGGGAAGTCCATGTGTTATCAGTATAATCATGCTTTGCAAACAAATTCTGGATCTTGTTCTAGTTTTATGTTCTGTTAGATGGATTTGGAACAGTAGACAGAAGATTTTTAAGAACTTCAAACTGGAGTTGAGTTATAGGGCTGTTTTATGAAGTAACATGATTGGAGGATTCAGCCCCACAAAGGGAGTTAACAGCTTTGACGGTAATACATTTGCAATAAATGGGAGTGCTGGAAGAATTAGAAAAAATATTGGCAATTAGCATGTCAGAGTAGCAGCTGATCTACCAATTACCTACATAAATTAAAACACCTTAAAACAACCACAGTCTGTGTTCTGGTAAACATTTATGTGAGGGAAGAATTGAAATCCCATGCTGTAGTGAAAAAAACTAGAAATGTGTGCTAGGAATTAGGCACACTGATTATCCGTGAGTGAACACTGAGGCCATTCAATTAGATTAGTTACAAGTATTTAATTAAAAACTTTTTTTCTTTCAAAATGGTACAAGCAAATAGGCTGTAAATCTAAAGGAAGCACTTGAGATACTTTTGAAATATCCATTTGAAATTTCCATTGATTCCTTTAAGGAGAATGAATGCTAAAGCAGCTGGAAAGAAGGGGAGAAACTGAAGCAAAGAAAGAGGTAGTATCAGGGGAAAAGAAAAAAAGACAGGTTAAAAGAAAAAAATGAGTAAGCAAAGTAAAAAAAAAAAAAAAGGCAACAAATATTTAAGTCACTCTCCAGCTCAGTGTATATTTTAAAATAAGTTGTTCTGGAGTTTCTATAGGATAATTTTTGCAGAGAAGCTTTAATTACATAGAGGCAAAGCAGCTCCGGTGACATTGCACTGAAATCAGCTTTTGTTTACACTTTCACCCTTCAGAGCATTGCCAGGCTTATGGCTATGGGAACTGTATGCGCATGGGCAAGCATGGTATAGGCTTTGAATAGGATTAGCAAACACAAAGAGTTTGCTCATGCGCATGCATCTCATGTTTACATGCAGAGATGGAATTGTTAAACATTAGCTTCTGTTTCAGTGTTGCCACAATCCTCTAGCTACTTATTTGTATACCTTTTCAGGATTTACACATTAATTTCACTTACCAAACAGCTGTAGAACTGTATTATGAGGTTTTAAGAATGTGTTGTCATGTATGGGGAAGAGGAAAGATTTAACCATTAAGGTTAAACAAGTTTGAGGAATTTAGTGAACAATGAGGTGGGTTTTTTTGTTTTGCTTTGTTTTTTTGAAAAGAAGGTCCTGAGACAGCAGATATAGTAGAAACAAATTAGTCTATTGATGGAAAGAACATTATTGTTTTCTTGAGTATAGAAAGTGTTGTATTTTCATATTTTTCAGAATAACATATAACTGCTATTTCTGTGGCAGCAAATCCTCACCTTCTGCATGCTCCTAAAGCTAGCCAATAGGAAGGAAGCATGAGGAAAATAGGGTAAATAGACAAAAACTAATCATCCTATTCTTGAAGTCTGTTGCCAACCACACACAGACGATTTCTCCAGGTTTTTTTTTTTTTATTAATAAAATCTGGAGCATTGTGCAGATAATTCTTGTTGATGAATGGATGTCTGAAATTTTTAAAGGCAAGATCTAAACATTTGCTCAAATCAGCTGGGCAAAAAAATAGGGGTGACGATGTACCTGAAATTTAAATTTTATTCCAAATCTTTTATAAGCCAGCATTTTAATTGAAGTAAAAATTATAAAGGGTAGTAAAAGAAGTAGTCTTTCAGTGCAATAACACAGATTCGCGTAACTCATTCTGAAAGCAAAAAAGTTATACATACGACAAGAAACTTGACCTCAATAGTACACAGCATGCTAAAACTTTCTGCTTGTTTCCAGTAAATTTTGAAAACAATCATTTAACCTGAAGTTCAGTTACTAAGAAGCACGGTTTTCAGCCAAATAAGCAGATAAGAAAGCTGTTTTTTTATTCCTGGTTCTTTTCATCTGTAAAATGGATACAATATTTGTAATATGTATTTCAGAGAAAATTCTGTGAGGCTTAATTTATAAATTGCTCCCACCTCATATTCACTTGATAGTCTCTGTCAGTTGACTTGACAACAGTCAATCTGAGCATATAATTGCACTCCCTCTTAGTATGTAGGGGGACACTGGTTTATATCTTCATTTTCTTTGTATTAATTCAGGGATTTGTATGTCAGGTAGGCGTATTAACCGCTGAGCTGTTGGTGATCTTTGGTAATGGATTGTCAGTCTCTCTTGTTGAAGCTGATAACATTCTGCATACTGGCCAAGTACGCCCTGGTACAGGGAATCATTGATCTAATAAGCCAGTAGTTGCAGCAATTGCCTGAATTGCAAGAGGCAAGATTCAGATTCTGGTACATAAGTGAACTCTTGTATTAGATACCCTACACTCATCAGGTGATTTAGATAGCAAATAAGGTAGAATGGAAAGACAGAGAATGAGACTGAATTTATGATTGAGCTTAGTATATGTTCCCACCTTAGCTGTATTGTTTATTCTAGACATACAAAATGCTATTCTCCTGATTCTGACCGGGGGGTTGAATTTTTATTGTAAAATGTTTATTTTGTTATACATGTTCAGTGAATTTTTTTTTTCCTTTCTGCAGAGGTCCACTCTGTCCTGAAGTTTCATCTCTTACACACTCACATGCCAAGGTATCAAAGTCAAAACTATCCTGTTTAATTTCTTTTGCTAGTATAATTTCCACATATTCTGGTTTTGAGGCTGTGCTACACTGGGGACTTGCATGGGTGGGAAGCCAAAAGGAAATGATGTTCAAAGCAGTGCTACAGGGACAGTGTTACCAGGCTTTCTCAGTGCCACTGGTGGTTAAGTGGACTTATATCACATTTAATTTTTGTGTTCTAAGTTTCCTCATCTGTAAAGCATTGACAGAAGTGTTCAGTGTTTTGAACATCAAATTAAGAATTCCACATGCAAAATAATAGAACATAATTCATTTCTTCCTTTACCCCCTTCCCTTCTCTACCAGTATAATACTAAAGGTAGTACTGCTGTCTTCTAGATGTGATAATAAACAAGCAGTCAAAATAACTGAATACAGGAAAGGAAATATAATGGAGAAAGGAGACTGAGATTAGAAACAAACTCAATAGTCTCTAATTGCAATTACATTGAATCTTTTAGGAGGTGAGCTAAAGCTTCCAAAATACTGTCTGCAGTTATTTATCAGAATACAGTAGAAAAAAAAGCCTAATTTTTGAAGATTTTATTTGAGTGAAAGTAACAAATATATTGTTAGATCTTCCTTCTACAGGGACTTTATAAGATCAAAATAATGCATAAAAATAGCATGTTTTTGAAGGTATGATAAGCATTTTTCAAATAAATGCACTCTGTTGACAGTGCAAGATAGCTAATATCTTGATAATAGCTGAGAGCCTTGCTTATGCATAAATTTATTATAAGTATGCATGCAAAAACTCCCACAAGCAAATGACTATTGGATGTACTATAATTTGGGCATACGGACATGAAATTTGCAAGATAAAGATGAGTGCAAATAAAACTGGAAAATTGTGCTTTTGAAAGTTTGAAAAGCATACTTTGAAAAGTATCCTTGAGTCCGAATATATGACACACACCCCCCCAAACAAAAAACACTAGAAAAAAGTAATTCCTAACTCATTAAAAAAAATCACTGCTTTCTGAAAAAAATTTGTAGCTAGCAAACAAGAAGAAATGTGCTTCCATGCCCACGGCTCAGAACAGACCATACTCTGGAAGTAAGGGAAGAAGAACAACTTTAAGGTATATTATACACATCTTTTTGTCTGTAATAAAGTATTTTTAGTTGCTATTTTTGTCTATCAGGTCGTTTTTATTCATGTATGTTTCTACATTTATATATATTTGTATAAATAAATGTATCAAACTTTTGATCCTCCTCAGTCAGCTCCACCACATAGCTATCTCTGTTTACTTGCATAGAGCACCAAAACATATTAGTGAACATAGGTGATAAATATTACAACAATGAAACTGTTGCTTTCTGCTCAAGCACTTCTCAAGGCTGGCAGTTAAACTGTTAACTCCTTTAGTGAAAGGATGCCTAATGAGCATACATGTGGGAAATACATCATCTGAGGCAACATGAGAGAGCACACTTAGGTGGTGCAGAGTGATTTGAGATCAGACCGGTGATGGGAAAGATGAGGCCCTCGAGGGTCTCCCCTATTTTGGTGAATCTTGGGCTCACAGGACAAGGGAGAGTCAGTAATAGTACCACAGCTTTCAGGGGTTTCAAGCTGAAAAGCTTCAGCTCTGTAGATAGCAAATTCAAGGTTGTAAAAGCAAGAAATGGAGATCTGGACAAAAGAAAAGAGTAGAGAAATGCGTAAGATGCTGGGAGCAAATTAAAACTGCCACAAACACCAAAATAGGATGAAAATTGTCTGCAACGTGGCAGAACGTGGAACTGACACAGGCCAAGGTTGTCTTTTAGGACTTGGGAGTCACTTGTGGACCCTTTGGACCTCCCTTGGGCAGTTCAGGGGAGACCGTCATGCTGGCACCGCATCATGAGGTTTAGAAGTGCAGATACAGGACCTGCAGGGTGAACCCAAAGTTGTGGGAGAAAGTTAGCAGCTAGAAGGAGTTTGGAGGCTGCATTGGGATGAGGATATATTGGAATAAGAACTTAGGAGCTTCAAATCCTGTGGCAACTAAAGTCATCTTTTTATAAAAGAAAGCTGAGGAGATACCCTATGTAGAGGATGTCACATACCTTGGTTTTGGTTTTATGACAACTTTGGCATGCAACCTCTAGGATCAGTGAAGTTTCCTAGGCCAGGCATAATGCTACAGAAATTGTGGTAGTAAGGTAGGAGTATAGCTAGAGAGGACAGAGCTCTAGAAAAGTTAACGTGCAGGGGGGAAAAATAGCAGAATTTAAGGCAGAGGCTAGTAGTGAAAGCCAAGAGAACATTCCTCTGTTTCTTTCTTTTACTCCGATTTAGTTATGAAGCTGTTGGACGAGAAGACCATGCCAAAATCTTTTCGGTAGAAAATGGTACTGTTTCTCTGCCTCCTACATTATAATATGTAAAATCCTGTAATTGTTTATGTGGAATACGATAAAGGTATCTTACATAAAGAAAATGAGAAATTGCCATCAATGCATCTTTCATACGAATGCAAGCAATGAAGTTGCATTAGATAAATAACTGTATACTCTTAAAAATAGCAAATTCACTATATTTTTGTGATTTTTTTTTTTTATTATAAATTTAAAATCTAGGGTTTGCTTTTTTTTAGTTCAAAAATAAGAAACCTGGAAGTACAAAGTGCTGATGATGTTGCAGTACTGGAGGATTGCATAGATTTTTCTTTAGCAAAGACAATAAGCAAAATTGAAGAAAAACTAGAGAGAGGAGGCTTACCAGATTGTCTAGATGATGATATTATTCCAAGCGTTGGAAATGAAATTGGAGCAGGTAGGTTTCCTCCCATGGTTAAGTACTGTTATTCTTACTTCCCGACTGTTAGAAATGGATTCTCCTGGGGAAAAAAGGAAGAGTTTCTGTAGAAATTACAAGGAAAGTTCTAAAGCCCTTAAGTTAAGGGAAAAGGAAAAGAAGGTTTTTCTTCTTTATGTAGTCCTAGAGGAAGATAAGGTCACATATGAATAATCATGGGGAAAAATGAATTTTTATCTCGATTTCCACCTTTGTAGGAAGACATTTGGATGGTTACATATGTTGAGTACGTGCGTAACATTTGATTCATTTCACTGGGGAAATAGAAATACATGATGCTAATTTTATTTCCAAAAAGATGAGCTTCAGTCTTCTGCATGCATTCTGCCTTTAGAGGAAAAAGCCTTTCCTCAGATCTGTGCTGTGGATCTTAGTAAGTGGCTTAAATGAAGTAATGTTTCAGCTACAGTGCTTGAATGAGAATCCTCCAGGTACTTTCCCACTCCAAATGGTGTGTTTATGTTTGTCCTAGAAATATAGGAGGAAAGGGGATTGCAGCATTTGCCAGCGAAGCTGAAGGCATGATGCACATCTGTCTTCTTGGCTCTGGTGTGATAAAAGTGGGTTTATGTAGTTTCTTACAATGCCAAAGCAAGCGTGAAGTCAGAAATTCACTGCAGTAGTACAAAATGCCCAAAACCTCTTCTTTTTAATCTAACAGCTTCATGTCAACAAGCATGCCAACACAGAAATAGTTTGATTTCTAACCTCATGTAACTCTGTGCAGGTTTTCTGTTAGTAAGTCTGCCAAAACAGATCCTCAGATATCTTTTTTCATAGTTCTGAAAAGTTTTCTGAAAAGAAGTTGCTTTGTACTGCATTGGAAGCTTACACCAAATAAATTCAAGGTAACTCAAGAAGAGTTATTACTGGTGTCTAGTAATTGGGTCTTGTGGACCACGGGCATGCATTTTAGTATTGAGAATTGTTTCTGTAGCTAATGATGAAATGAAAATACTCTGTATTGTTTTTTACTTTTTACATTCGATATTGACTATTTAGAACACTCTGAATGCCTCCTTAATATGCTAAATAAGTTATTGCAGAGCATGCTAGCAGTGTCAAACTCACAGAACAGTTACAGTTTTCAAAGGAAGTAGATGTAGATACTAAATAGGCCCTGTTACAGAATGGGCTGATCCCTTAGCGGGAATCTCCTAGTAAGGGGTTCCTTAGGCTTATGTGCCTGTGCTAGACTTTTTAGGCCAGCATGCTGATAAGGTTCCATAGCATTGTCCTTTCCCTGAGCTTCTTGCAGTGCTCTTCCTGGACTTAAGTTCCATATCTTTATTTCATGATCACAAGTTATCACAGCGCAGCCATTTTTCTGCCAACACAGTAGCTTACACATTATTTTTCTTGGGCTGTTTTGGGGGGTTATAACTCAACTCTGCAGTAACAAGCAATGATAGAAGCACACAGACATGTAGAAGGCTGATGATGAAGCTCTATTTTTATCTAATATACCCTTACACATATGAACAAAATACCTGAATGCATTGTCATGCTTTGTGTTAATCTTCAGATTATCTCAGGTGTTCAAGACACCTACTCTTTCTTGTAGGGCAAGAGAGTCTCTCAGATGTCCTTTTCGTGTTTACCGTTCCCTAAAGTGTTGGTTACTTTATAACCTAAGACCATCCTATTAAGTGATACCCCTCCCCCTTATCAGCCTCATCAGGTGATTAAAATTGACCAGTTAGGAAGCTAATTGCTTAATTAACTTTACCTCTTGTGAGAATTCAAACTAATTTTGGATCATAGCCACCTCCCAAGGCTGATCTGGTTCTACTTGTGCTCTTGGATTTTCAACAAGTTTTACTACTAAGTGCTCTTAATGATACAGAGCTGTCTAAGACAGAAGAGAAGGTACACAGGTCCATGGGACCCGATGAGATCCATCCACGGGTCCTGAAGGAACTGGCAGATGAAGTTGCTAAGCCACTATCCATCATGTTTGAGAAGTCGTGGCAGTCCCGTGAAGTTCCCACTGACTGGAAAAGGGGAAACATCACCCCCATTTTGAAAAAGGGAAAAAAGGAAGACCCGGGGAACTACAGACCGGTCAGTCTCACATCTGTGCCTGGAAGATCATGGAACAGATCCTTCTGGAAGCTATGCTAAGGCACATGGAGGACAGGGAGGTGATTCGAGACAGCCAGCATGGCTTCACCGAGGGCAAGTCCTGCCTGACTAACCTAGTGGCCTTCTATGATGGAGTGACTACATCAGTGGGATGTAGGGAAGGGCTACAGATGTCGTCTATCTGGACCTCTGTAAGGCCTTTGACATGGTCCCCTACAACATTCTTCTCTCTAAACTGGAGAGGTATGGATTTGATGGGTGGACTGTCCGGTGGGTGAGGAATCGGTTAGATGG